GGTACGCGGTATTGCCTGCTGAAGCAGGACTCCAAAATTGTTCCTTCCAGAAATGTAAGTTTTATTGCTGAGCACATTGGGTTTCAGAAGTTGGCTTAGAAGATACATACAAGGTTGTATATTTTTTCTTTTGTGTTTTCTTCTCAGCCGTGATTTTATTTTCTTTCTTATCATCTTCTTCCATGGTTTCAAATCTGGATTCAGTTGTTAACCTATAGGCAAAGCAACCATTCTAAATACATATTTAGTTAATAAAGAACAGGGCTAAAATAAGAGTTGTAAGCAAAAGCAACAAGCCAACTGGCATACAAGACCATCCATATGCAAAGACAGAGCAAGCAGTATTTAAGAATGAGACTAAAATAAAGCATTTTCATCAGTCCTATTCACATTTCATCACTTAAAGTATAGCCCCACCACCACCTTATCTGCTGAAACGTTTGGTAAAAAAGGTTACTGGAGGTGTTAACGGGTTGGGATCGGCCTTTAAAGAAAAGTGACTGTGCCATGCACATAAAGGAGATCAAGTCCACAAAAGCACAACTCCAAGTGAAGAGTCCCAGCAACATAATACAAGTGTGACGTCAAGCATCCTGCTTTAACACCACCAAAAAAAGGACTACACTTAAAGCAATATAAAAAATATAAAGTTGCCAACCTAGTTCTGCACTACCCTGCCTTTATCTTAATGCCTGAATATCTGAAAAGAAATTGTTGGAAAAAAGATATTTTCAGGCTCTAAATTACATCATCTGTCCACTGACGTGCTTTAATTCTGCTATGAATGTAAACGGGAATACAGCTGCCACATTGCTGTTAAAGAGGTAAGTTAACAACAAGATTTAGACACCTGAACACAATCGGATGGTTTGATTATTTAAGAATTACTTAATAAACATTCAAATGTGTCACGAGAACAAATTGGTAAAGAGTAGTATTTACTCAACCAAATCACCCACAACCAATTGATTATTTCCATAGCAAAACAAATTACAGAAAATGAAGTTCCAAATTAAACATCGCTTCACATACCAACACAAATTCTATGCTGAGTCATCACCACTTCTGTTAAAGCAATTCTCCAGTGACCTTGTGGATTTCTACTGGTCTCAAGAGCCTCCAGTGAGCAACCCACAACGATTACAGATACTTTCAACGGTGGCTTTCCAAACAAAAATAGCTGCTACCCAGTTGTTAGAGATTTATTTGCAATAGAGAGAGACAGGCTGAAGATGAGGACTATGAAAGGAGCTGTAACAAAAAAGCTTAGGGAAATTTAGCTACAGATTCCCCCCCCCCCCGCTTTACAAATACATCAAACAAACTTTTCTTATCCATTGCAAGCAACTGCATATTATTTCCTATAAGTACTGACTCAATAGACTAAAGAGAAATACGCTTTGCATCTCCCCTAGGTCAGGAATGTTTGCTCCACCGTTTGCTTTGTACTAAGTCCACACCTGTAATTCTGATGGCTGACCATTTTCTGTCCATAGTCAGCTTTCCCCCAGCTGTGCTCCATTTCAGGTGTGCTGCTGGCTTGTAAGTCGCCAAATAATTACGCAGTTACAAGAAGAACCAATTATTCACGGAAGAAGAAAAAGTGCATTCTTAGTCATCATCTTCTGGTTAGCATTTAGTCTGCAGTTCAGTCTATGCCTCCCTAGCAGCTGTCAGCGGGGATGGATAGCTCGTGTCTATGCATCTGTTCCTAGGGTAGATCCTCTTCCTTTGTCCCTCCGCTCTTCTGCCTTAAAACAGCCTCTGTCCAAGGCCCCCAAAAACATTACTCTAGTGGCCAAACTTTCCAACAGGGATTCCCTATAAAACTACAGAACAAAGCAAGAACTCAAGCCAAAAGGCCAAATAAAGACTGAATTGACTTTGAGTATGTTCCAAAGCAGCACAATTGGATTTACACAAAATAATCCCCTTTTACAGTATTAGGTAATTCTGTTAGTGTATAGTGTAACAAGTCTGGAAATCACATTCACATCAGAAACACCACACTGTTTCGTAAAAGTTAACAACTATTAGAATTTGTTATTTGAATAGAGAAAAAAAAAATCATCTTTTTCTGCTTCAATTGCACACCAAAATGTTTATGCAAGTCAGCATAAAGTAAGCTAACTTCCTCAGACTAGAGCAATGATAATAAATATCTCAAGTCATTTATCAGAGGACTGACATTGACTTATGAAGATGAAACAAACGAGCCATTTCATGTAAGCAAGCTACACTCTTATCAGCAATAGATTGCCATGATTTGCTTCACTTATGACAACCTTAGTTTATGGCAGTGAGATACTCGGAAATGCCTGAAGATTCAAATAACTGAGCTTTAATGGGACAGGGAACAGACAATCCAAGCAAATACATTTTTCCTCTTTCATTCTTAGTATCTTACAGTTGGCCTGCAAATGCTTCAGGACTGATTATTCTACAGCCTACAAGTCGTTAAACCATACTTTCGTACCAAATTAATTTTTTTTTTTTTTTTCAAAAAATACATGTTTTACTAGTGTGTAATAGATCACGTCTACAGGCTGCTACATACAACAAGAGAAGGGACAAAATGAATGAGTTCAGTTAACAGATGCCAAAGTTAACAGCTGAGCATCATGTTATGAAATTAAGTCTGAGTTCAAAAATCAGCCAGTCCCTTTTTTAATTCTCTTCTACCAACCCTCATGATAATCAAGGAGCAGCAGAGACGAAGTGCTATGAACTAACTGCAACCCCCATTCCCCATAACCCCTGTGCCACGCGGTGAGGAGGAGGTAGAAGGTGGGAATGAAGGAGTGAAGGTGAGCCTGGGAAGAAGGGTTGGGGTGTAGGGGGAAGGCAGTCGTCTGTCTTTCTTGCTGTCCCACTATTTTTAATTGTCAACGAATTAATCTTCCCATGACAGTTTTGCCTGTGACTAATTGATCCTTGTCTTTAACTCAACACACCAGCCTGTTCCACCTTGTTTTCTTCTCCATCCTGTTGAAGAGGGGGAGTGAGAGCAGCTGGGTGGGCATCTGGCAGCAAGCCAAAGGTAACCCACCACAGTCCTCATACCAAGCCAGCTCACAGACCGCCCCTTGTAGCATTGTCATATTTTATGAAGTGTTCACACAAGGAAATGGATGGATAAAGAAAAAATAAGAAGAGAAGAGTTAAACAATTCCACTTTAAAAAAATGCTTGTGAAACTATGACATGATTCTATCAAGCTCTGACTTTGTAGACTGCAGAAACAAGACACAATCAGGGTTCCTTCTACCCATTTAAGGAAGATCAACTAGTCCGACGAGATGGAGCTTTACCTCCTGAGGAGGAATGCCATGCCTAAAACCCCAAAGAGAATATTAGTTATCCAGATCTCCTGCTAGGCCAAATGGCTATGGGCATTTCCTGTTTGAACAAAGTCCAAACGAGGTAGATTTGGTGTATGTAATCCAACTAAATAATTTAAAAGAGCAAATAAGCTCTTAGGCACACGAGCCCTTCTTTAGATCAAACTAAAGCAAACAACCTCAAATCTAAATGCAAACTAAGTTGGGCAGCAAGGGCTGGAATTTGCTATTTCAGTTTCAGAAGTGAAGAAAAGCATTTCAATACAGAAGCGTACCTTTGTATAGACCAGTTGGCCTAACAGGAGACAGCACTACCTATAAGCTTGGCATTGCCTGAATTACAATAGCAATTAACAATTAAAGATAATCACTTCAATATTTAAATCTTTAGTCTCAACTACTATGTTCCCAACACTCACATACCGTAACCTAATCAGTCCCGTGACCTAATAAAGTATTCCAATGTTTACTTGCTTTAAACTTTTGTAAGTATATACACACGCCCTGCAGATAGGTACCCATGCAAAGTTACCTAGCTCTGCCTTGCTGAATCACATTAGCAAGCAAGACTCTTCAAACAAGGAAACTGGTCACCCATACAGGTACACACAGATCACTTCCAGCCACCTCTTCATCACCTCCTAAACTAAGAGGACAAAGCTTTTCAAACACCATTTTCTAGAATTGAAGTTTGCGATCCTTTCACAGTCACTCTGGCTCTTTTCTCTGCTACGTTTCATGGACTAGTAACGACAGAGCTAGAGTAATTATTGCACAAAATCTACTCCAGTTACAAAAATAACCCCAAATGACCACAATAACCTTTTCAGCCAGAGCATTGCGTTTTACTTAAGACAAGGTGAAAAACACTAACAATTATCCACCATGCAGATGCCAATTATTTTTTTTCCTCCCCCAATCCCTCCATTTTGAGGTCCACGTTCCTGCTCAAGTTGCCAACAGTTTTTGTGCCTTTGCATTTAGCTGTATTCCCACGTAGGGTTTGGGCACATCCATCACCGAACAGTCCAGAGAGTCTTTTAGTGTTTAGAAACCCACCCTCTCAAATACTCCTATTTTATCATGACTTCCTATTTCATAATAAATCAGTACAGATCAGGGTTAAGTAAATCCTCAATGTTATCTTCACAACATCATTAATTGAGGATTTAGTAGCTCCTTAACACAATTGGAAACATGAACAGAACTGTCTGCCTGGATTTGCCTTTTCCAGGTTCATACCACCACTGAAAACAATTTTAAACCTTACGCGGAGTTTTGTGGCATTGTTGTTGCATTGGTGGTGTTTATTTTTTAAAACCTACTGATTTATGTTTTATTCCTTATTTGAACCAACAGCAATGGGTGCAAGATTAGAACCCTCCCTCTGAACTTTGACTTCATCTTCCTCTTCCACTTTTTCCACCCGCTCTGTTTTCAAACATCAACCCCATAAAATCATTTCCTCTCCTCACCCCCTCCCCGGTAGGTTTGTCCCTTCAGTTCGCATAAACCGTTTCCAACAACTTCCTGCTGGCAGACACTGTATCTTCCTTTCCAAAAGAAAGATGAGGATATAAACTTTTCACACCCAGGTTACACGCTATCCGTTCCTTTATGTGTACGGAACACTCTCAAAACACAAAGCCATCGCTAAGTTATCCAAACGTTCCTCTCAACTTTCACCACCCACGTTTGACCTCCCTGATCTTTCCTCCTCAGCAACAGTCCCTGCAAATTTTGACATAGCTACTTAAACTACTTCTGCCGTATTCTTTCCAGACTATTTCAGAAGATTGTACTGTTTGGTTACTTTAAATCTGTTAATTGCATCCAACGCAACCTTGAAGAATTGATCCGAGAATCAAAATATCAACCCAATTACTTCTGAATGCCATTAATTTTGGATATACTGTACAGATTGCCATGTGTTAGGCCCTCCTCCATCTTTGAGGTTGCTGTCATTCTAGATTCAATAAACTATTTTTACTAGCAGACATTAGCAAGTTGCAAGCTCAAAACATCTAAGCTATCCCAGATTTTTTTTTCTTCCTCCCCCCACACACTCCAACATGTGCTTACTAAGATTATAAATACGAACAGAATACAAAAGCATCAGCTGGAAAAAAAAAAGTCAGTATTCCTTTCACCAAGATAAAAAAGTCGGAGCTAATTCCTATACTAAGTTACTTTTTGATAGATCGTAAAGTAACTTAAATTCTCAGTTCAGGGGAAAGAATTGATCTTAGTTTAACAGTTGTGTTTCTAGTTATCACGCATCCAGATTATGGAAGTCAGTTGCCTGACAACGCAAATAGCATAATTAATTGTCTGTTGTCTCGTACAACGCAAGTTCTGTTAACCCAATTCAGGTTAAGAATTACTTTATTAAATAATTTTCAGGCTTTTTAGCTAAATCTGAAAGTTGGCGAGGGCTGAAATTAGGTATGAAACTGAAGCATGATACTATTGCCTTTGCTGCTTTGATATGTACCACAGTTGTGTGGCAGCTTTGAAGGGACCAAGAAAACAGTTCTATTTCTGAAGTCAGAGCAAACCGAGAGAACTGTCATGCTATCCGCGCACCTTCAACATTTTCAAGTAATGGGAAAGTTATTTCAAAGATTGTTACAGTTTCAAGAGTCTTTTTCATTAGTCATCATTTTAGTCTTTCTAAAAGGTTTTGAGAGGTTCAACGTAGGCAGCCGGAGCTGAGGAATTACACTGCATGCAACACTGAGGAAATAGACAAAGAAGTGGATAGCACAGTTCATGCAGCGAAAGAAAAGAGATGCAGGTCTGTGATGATTGCCTTGACCACAGACAGAAGCTGACACTGACCTGGGGGCCGCTGAAGTCAAGGAATTACTTCCACTTCTGCTATACAAAGCAAAGGCGTCGTGATTCTCATCTTTAGTTTTAACTCTCTTTCTTTCTCTTTCAGGTTCAACAGCTTTTTGCGTTGCTTGAAGAGCTATATTTATTGGTGGTGCTTCAAGAGCGTGTTTTTTCAGAGAAGCATCGCTTTGCTCCAAGTTCTTGGAAGTCACCTTTGTTTCCTCCTTACTTGGCAACTGAGTGAGAGCAGCTTCTTTTACTGAAGTATTTTTGCTGTCCAAGTATTCACAAGTACTGTCCACTGGAATCTTCTCCCTCTTCTTTTTAGTTTTAGTGCCTTTAAGTAATTCTAAGAAAAAAGGAATATACTTTTTGTACACAAGTGAAGCTGAGGTGAACGTGTCCACCAACATGTTTGTAATAAAACAAAGAATATTTCACATGACTAAAGACCTTGGAATAATTCTTAACAGACAATTTACATCCCTTAAAGAACATCCTTTCATACAACCTGCTATCAGCAAGTAAGCATCCCCAACAGGAGAGAGCTTGAAGGAGAGACAAAAAAAAAGAAACACACACCAAAAAAGCACCTTTCTCCCCATCCACTCCCCCTTTTTACCAAGGCTTTTAATTAGATGCTCAGAACTACATGAATATGCTCAATTACTTTATTTCCACTTTGGAGGCTGCTGAGGTAAGCTTCCACAACTAAGATTCTAAAATTAAATCCTTTGGGTATGGACAATACCAAAACCAATTCACCCGTCTGGTTCCCCATTCATCTTCCCCCGCAGGCTACCACTCCCATGTTTCTGCGCATACCCAGCTATCAGCCGTTTTTCAGGTGGGCCTGTTGTCAAAACTTAATCCGTATTAACTTGAGCTACTACAGTTTTTCCTCTAAATGCTTTGCCCTTATTACAAAGCTCGTATCAGCTGCCTGCATTCAGAAAGCTGATACTTCTCATCAACAGAGAGATACTGCTACTATTATAGAAAGCACCTCCTGAGAATTTGTTCCCCCTTACTCCACTATGGTTGTCTAGCTATGCTCCGAGCTCTATACCTTGTACTCTTCAGTCTTCCGAAATTAATGTCAGTATATGTACTGAAGTAAAGGTCCTTGAGCAAGGTAGGGCTTCACTATTTCAGTTCAGCAGTTTTTGGACCAGGTTATTACCAAAAAGGCAGCCATTTAAACATTAGTTTATACTGAAACTAACCCAGTGTCTTCCTGTTTAATGTCATTCAACTTGTGAAGGTTGAGACAACCAGATTTTTTTTTTTTTTCTTCCTCCCTCCATACAGAAAAGTAGTATTTACCTTCAGGCTCGTATTTCATTTTTAGCTCATCCAGCATAACTCGCAAGTTCATATTCTCACTCTGACAAGCTTGCAAGTGCCTCTCATTTGTGAAGAGTTTCCTTTCAACTTCCAGAACCCTTTGGCTCTCATACAGAGCTTTCATCCTCTGCAAGGACAGTTCATTTTTCAAGGTTTCGGTTTCCTTGCTAGGGTGGGAGGAAAATGACACAGTCACTCAGACTTGATTGTTGGGGTTTTCGGTGGTGGTTGTTGTAGGGCTTTGTTTGGTTTGAGTTTTTTTTAGTAAAGCAGCAGATACAAAGTCAATTAAGCATTCAGCGACTTCACATAAAATTCTTATTTATACACTAGTCAGAAATGAGAGAGACCTCTTTTGGTACAATGAAAATTTTCACCTGAACTTGACATAGAGCAGTGAGTTTAACTACCAGAGATCTATCGCTTGTTAAAAACAAACCTGTATGCTGAACGATGCACCCACGCGTATGTAACTGGTTTGAGAAACTTTCCCTGACCTACAAATGCACTATTTCGTCAGGGGTTTTTTAGCCTCTGTATAAATTAATATAACTGCTTCTATAACTGACAATGCAAGCTTTAACAAAGGTGCTACTCTAAGTGACCAACACGAAAATAATCATGTTAATACTCAGTGCACATCCTTGCCTCTGTTTCAGAGGCCATTAACTTCTACATCGTAAGCACTGAATCACCACCACTCAGCACTCCTAAGGTACTCGGATCATGCCAGTTTCTCGTAACAGCAGCAACAGTGAGGTGAAGGCTTCTCCGGCATTCCCACAGCAGACCATTGCCTCCTGCCCAAAGCGCAGTACTTTCATCTGAGGGCTTAAAAAACAATCTTGAGGCCAAACACTATGGACTTTCTAATTAATAGACATGGAATCCACCAGCCAAAGAACACACCTCAACTAAACAGTCCAATAAAACATTTCAAGTGTTATTTCCTGGCTCTTATTAGAGCCTGTAAGTCCTCTTACAGGTTTGGGGTTTTTGGGGGCTTTTTTGGTTTGTTTGTTTTGTGTTGGATTTTTGTTTGTTTGTTTTGAAGCTGTCAACTATCTTGTATCTCGGAGTATTGACAACATTTCTAGAAGGAAGCAACAATACTATAAAATAGTTCTGCTGCTATCTTTTGCAACAGTAAGTAAAATGACAAACAAAACAAGTCTCAGTCCTATAACCAACATAGGCTGGTTCCACAGCATTAGAAAGTGAGACGATGAGCATATTTGCCCATACAGTCAGGGGACTACAAACAGTAACAAAAAAAGGGAGAATAAAAACAAGTAGCTAGAAGATAACCAGACTACAACCAACTTCCCGGCCACAGACCATTAATTACTTACTTTGAGTTGTCAAGTTTCATTTGCAGTAAGTCTGCATAGTAACCATCTTCAGACTCTCCTCCTTTTGAGCTACTACTAGCTCTGGATTCTTCCATATTCTCATATAAAGTCTGATAAAGAAAAAAGGTCAGGTTGTCAAATAGTGACTTTTCAGAAACACATTAGCTTAGTCCTTAGGTGAATTCCTCCATGCATTTCTATAGAGAAGCCTCATGATAGGGGCGTTTAAACATACAAGAGTGCTCAGTTGGTCGGAGTACTTCCTCATTTGTTATAAATGTCAAATATCACCAAAACTGACAGTTCTCTCTCATTTACAGAAAGAAATAAAAAAGCAAGTTCAACTCCAGAAGGTTTTCAAATAGCATTGCGGAATGGTTATCTTCCTTTTTACTTGAAAATACAGGATATTTAGTTAAGCCACAAGGAATTTGTTTCAGCCTTTATTTCTAGGCTTCAGCAGCTGAAGTCCAAAGGTAAAGAATACAAGCCATGTTAATCAATAGCCAAAATCTCAAAATCAATTAAATCGTTCAGATGAGAAAGTTGGTTCGTACTAAAGATGCCATAAATGCAATACGCCTTCTATAACTACATTAGTAAGACGTGACATTCCGGGGTTTTTGCTTTGTGGTTTTCTTCTGAGCAAGCAGTACTAATACTGTCTCACAGACCTCATGGGCTTCTGTCAGTCACTGACTACAGGTACTTTTGATGGTTATTTGAATCAATCATTTGATTTCCTTACACTACTTATTTGTGGCATGGAGACAAAAATAAATACTGATCAAGCTTAAACATGACAAAACCGGTAAAGCAATCAAGCCGCCTCAATTGCTTACTAAAATGGGTTAAGCCTAGCTTTATGCCACTTTGGTTAAACACAGAATAGAGGACGCTATCCTGGAAAGCATAATCCTAACGCATAAGCTAATACACCTAAGTTTACAGTCCAAAGCCGTGGTAAGAGAGGGCAAATCGAGTCCACAAGTATGTAAGGAAGTAAAAAAGGCTACAGTTTTTCGCTCTGTATACACACAAACATCAGTAACATTACAATAGTGCAGACAGGTGTTCTCATGTATTTCTCACCTTCCAAAGTATTGACAAGATGCTATCAAGTTGCATAAGAGGACTGAAGAAATTGCTTTACAAGAATGATTAAGCAATTGAGTTTTTCTAGAAAAGAGCATGCTTCAACTGCAAAGTTAAGACACATTAAGGAAATAAATATCTAAGAAATCCAATATAGCTGAGACTAAGAAGCGATAAACCCTAAGTACACACAGTAAAAAAATCTGAAAGGGTTATGTCTTCCAAGATAAAAATCAGATGGCATAGCTCAGTGAACTTTGACCAAGTAATTGCATTTAAACGCTACAGGCAACTACATAAAATATGAAGGTGCTACACACAGGAACCCAGAAAAGACTCCTTCTCCAAACTAGGGCTTGGGTGGTGTAGAATTTTCTGCTTCTCTGAACTTCAGAAGTATATGTTTGCCAGCTGTAAAATAGAACTTCAGTCAAATAAAGGTATGAGTAGCCTTTGGATCCCTTTTCAAACCTTAGCATGGACTTCAAATAGTTTTCATAATTCTTCTTATTCTCATGATTTAGCTTCCGATTACGATTTTTCCACTCAATTACAGACCACATACCTTAAATTTTTCTAGCTGCCTCACTTTCATAAGAAGATCTTCTATCTCACCATTCTTTTGTTCTAACATTGACTGTAAGCGTTCCAGCTGCTCAAATTCTGCCTGAGAACCTTTCATCTGTAGCAGCGTAGCCATTTGCAGCTGTAAAAAAGGAAAAAAATTCCTTACAACAAATACTGGGTTAGATGACTGAAAATCTCAGCCTCTTACCCAGAACAGTTAGGGTACTCAAGCCTTGTAATTCTAATCCTGAATGCAGAAGCCCACTGGATGCTTAAACTCAGAAGTCTTCATAACATAGTCTTCACAATTATCATCGTAGGTTGACACTAAAAATCTTTAGCACAGCTGAAAACCTACTGAACAGAGTAGTCCTGAGGTGTCATATCTTTCTCCGTATTGACTAAGGAACCTATAAATATACTGTCAAGGACACACACAACATTTCACATTCAAACCATAAACACCAAGTCAGCTAGAACCAAAGTACAGCCCAGGCCTGTTTATCAGAGCTCAAAACGCATCTATTGAGGACTTCACTTGGAAAAAACACTCTAGTTCACCAAGTTTAAAACCCCTTTCTTGGCAGTTCCGATTCTGAGGTATAGATACCACTAAGTTTGCCTTCTGTAATATTAATCCAAGAATTTCAGCTTCTTCTGCTCCTTCAGTGGAACACACATCCTTTCAAGCAATGGAACACCCTTTGTTATTACAAAAGAAGTTTATCAAAGTCTTGCATTTATAGCAGATTTTGCTGATGCTGTTAACATAATAATATCATAGTACGAGGGCCTTAACGCATTCAGTTAGAAGTAATACATCAGACATTTAAACAACAACTGGGGAAACAATAGGAAATGCAATAATGGAAAGACTTAACAGGGTGTTAGTGATAGCTGCAGCATTTTCACCAGTCTAGTCAGGATGGATAAGGTAACACGGTAGGACACTTGGAGAAATCCAAGGATCAACTGAAACAAGTTAAGACTACAGATTAACAGGGAAAGCGAGAGAAGAGCTTTTACCCTACAGAACGTCAAGTAAAGGATATTGACGTTTCTGTACACAAACTAGAGCTAAAGAAAGATTCAATCATCTCCTCATAGCTTCTACAGGACATAAGGGAGGCAAAATTTTACCCCCCACTGGCTGACTAAAACTATTCTTACGTTTCCCAACCATTTAGACACCTAACCTTTTCCCCTTTTACTTAAAAGCCCACTCGCTAACCGTCACAATTGCGAACTGCAGCTGATCTACATGAAAACAAAGAACAGAAACATTGAGAAACTGGAAGGGATACTGTGGGCTGTGGAAAATACACCAGACAGGTAGAACTTTACACAGGAGTACTGCTTACATTCTGTTCAGGAGGCAGATGTGCAGAAGTCAGAAGTAAATACCCTATTCAGACATTCTGACAACTAAAGCTGCAACAACAGTTAACTGTACTGTCGGAATCAGCTGCTGAATGAAGAGATCAGTTAACTACAGACTGAGCTTTCACGCGCAGCACCACAATGCAACACAAAGCAGAGAGGATCCTAACAGGGATCCAAGATGGCAGCTTAAGCAAAACAGCTGTCCTAACAAACCACTTATCTCCAATATTGATATTAGAAGTTGTTTTATGGAAACAATTGAATACAAATTGAAATTCCATACAAAAACATTACGTAGTAGAACAGGGATACCAATTTGCCTCAGTTCTTGGTGAAAATCTTCAGTATTAGGCATGTTTCTTATACCATCCCGTCAGTGTGACTGACTTACCCTCACGTTACAAGGAGAAAACTTCTGAAGAAACTGACCCTATTCAGTCATTTTACTCACTCAAATCTTTAGCTCTCAAGATCAGATTCTAGTAAAAGAGAATTCCTTTGCTGCATCAGTAGTTCTTTTCTTGTCCTTCAAGAATGTCATTTCAATTATTTTCAACCTAGTTCTCCACAAAAGCTAGGTAACACAAACCTGTATCTTCAGTGTTATTCATTATCATCACTCTTGATGTTTAAGCACTCTCCTCAAACCTCACGATGAAGTACTCGATCAAAATGAAAGGATCCACTCGTGTTGGAAAATCAGAAGACCAACATGAAAACAGCTGGCAGTCTTGCAGCATCCTCTCTACATTATCTTGTAAATCAGCTTCTGCTAACTAGTTCTCAACAGTATTAACCAACAGGCTCCCAACCTATGGGAATATAACTATCCTATAGAACTAAATGAAATAGTTATAACAAAAGTTTTGACTTATTCTTGTGCTAAAGATAGGGAGAAGCAAAAAAAAAAAAAAACCAACATGGACAAGTGTAAAAACAAGAAAGCAACCCAGAGGGGAAAAAAACAAAACAGCAGCGTGATCAGGACAGAGTACAAGCCTGCCCGTTTCTTTACATTCATTCCTGACAATCACAGTTAATACACAAATAAGTGATTCATGTAGTACGAGAATTAGATAAGAGAGGAAGAAGCAATTGTCAAGACGAACTGAATGCTAGTTCATCTGACAGGAGTTGTGTTTCACTTTTATCCATTTAACCACTACTGCCAAGGTAAGCAAACATAGTGCCTTCAGAATAACTTCGAGTTCTAGGATAAAGTAGCAACACTAGTAGCGATAGAAAAATGCTGATGTACCATAAAAGTCAAATAGCACAATGACACCTCACTTGTTTTCCTCCCACTTCCCTCCCCCCAGACTACTGTATCGTATTTTAAAGATAATCAACCCCCCTAGCCTGTGTACTAAAGCATTGCCTTATCAGACCCCAAGGAAACCCTGGAGTATTACAGTAACGGTCATACCTTCATTCTTTGCAATTGTTCTCTAGTGAATGCATGCTGTTTTTGTAGTGACTGATATTTTATTTTCACACTGATCAGCTGTCGTTCCATTTCTGCCCTACGGTCCTCCACCTACAGAACATTGTTAACAATTATTACTATGAAAATTGTAACACTTGTTGACACTTGGATGATAAGTTTTACAAGATGTTACCTAGCAATTGATGTTGGTTCTGCAAATACTGCTTTTCCAGCAACAGTACTTGAAAAATACGTGCTGTTATCATTACCTCCGAGATAAAAGTGAGTAGGCAGTGCTGTAGCAGCTGAAGCCCCATCAGTAAAGCGCAACCGATTTTTCTTTTGTTCTTTTGATATCAAAATAAAGTAACACTTCATATGCTTCAGTGTTGCTGTAGAATAGTTTTGTCCATTGGCATCAGAACAAATAGTTTAAAAAAATATGAACCGTGTACCAATTCAACCCATCCCCTGCGTGTCGTCAGAGAACAAAAATAACTTCCTATGCATTTAACAGCAGCTGAACTCTTATTCAAAAACTAATTCAAAAACCCTCCCAAATGCTCAAATATCCAGCCATTTGCAGCATGTTTTTAAAAGACAGCCTTTAACAACATCTTTTAGTATTTCACATACTATCTTCTGCATTAAAGAAGGCTTACCAGCTGAACGAAACTACTTAGAGCCAAGAGCTGCAGACAGAACTGTCATGAACCCTCAGTCCCATCTTCTACCGTGATAGCCAGGTAACTTTAAGTTATTCCATTAAGTTCACTAACTCCCCGACTTCAGAGTGTGCGTAACAGTTTCCACAGGTCAGTTCCTAGACAGTTCAATACTGAAGTAGACTCATGCTGGCCAGATCACATACAGATACTCTAACATTTTCAATGCAATATAAGAAATAAAACTTATGAAGTATTTCTTCTCTCCTCTGTGTATTCTCAGGTATCGGTGACATAATTGTACCTCAGCAAAGAGAGAGTTGCCTTTACTTGTAGGGTCCAAAGATTGCTGCACTGCGTGATCCAGCTGAACCTGAAGCTCTTGGTTAGCTTCACGAGCTTTCTAGATAAAAGCAAAGAGGATATTAGTCATTTAAGCATCTGATGTACTGCATATATGAATTTAATCACACAGTTTTACTCTTTTTCCATTTCCTATGCCTGTAGCACAGATTATCTTGTACTGCAGTACTGAACTGTGCATACAGTTCTAGTCAGTAAGAGACAATCAACTTTGTTTCACTAAAGGGCTTAATATTACACTTGCTCTTCAGGACAAGAGCATAACTAAAACCTTTAAAGGAAAACTTTGATGTTTACCAATTGGATTAACGGTATTGAGACTATTAGCTTTGCTGTGCTATTTAGTCACAAACCCTATACTCCCCAGTTCAAAGTTTTCCAAGGCATTCAGTAGGAACTTGAAATAAAAATGAGAATTATATCAACAACCTGTGAGAAGGTCCTGTTATGAGGCAGAATACCGCAATACAAAGGATCTCCACACACAGCCTTCAACAAAAGAAGGCCAATATAGAGAGTATTTAGCAACAGGCTAAACCCGACTAGCCAATATCAGGTTTTTCTCCCCCTCTGCCTTCTCTTTCTCCCTCCCTCCTTAGAACTCCTCTCTCAAAACTCTGATCTTACCGAAAAGCTAGCACCACAACTTGCGGAATTCAGGGATTATCGACCACTGTTAAATAAAATTAAGAGAATACCTCTAATGCATTACAGTAAGAAACAACTTCTTTTTCCCTCTCTTCTTTTTCTCCCTGTAGACGCTCCAGCTGATTGCGTAAGTTACTGTTTATGAGTTCTAATTGTTCTTTACTGTACTGCAGTTCATTCAGCTTTTCTTCAACATTGGCCTAAACAAAAAACCCACCAAGTTTATAAAACAATTTAAGAAAAGCAGGCCTCTGTGAACCAAACAGATTTGTTAGTAGTAATTACTTTTAATACAAAATATTATCTGGAAGAAGAGTTTGTATTAAAGTCTAGTTATTAAGGCTATTATTTCTTTTTGCCTGTGCATATTTTCTTATTAGTAAGCCAATCATAAGGTAGGAACATACGCAAAGCATCTAAAAAGGAAATGAGCAAAAGCACAGAATTTGATCTCCAACTAGCCTACATTCCTAATAATTAAGTACTAGTCACACACCTTCACGCTTTCTAGTTCGGTGAGTTCTATCTGAAGATTGAGCATCTCTGAAGACATGGTCTCATGTACACGTTCAGACATCATATGTAGCTCTTCTGATTTGGCAGCAATTATTTCCTTCTGATGATCCACTTTGTGTCTTAGTTGTTTCTCCGAGAGTCGGGTTTCATCTAGTTCTGCTTTCAGGTTCTCCAACTTAAAGACAGTTGACAACTAAGTAGTGCTATTTTATAATTAATTCTTGAAAAGCACAATAATTTTGACTCTGTTCTAATTACAGAAAATGTCTTAGAAATACAACTTAAGAGTAAACGTTTTAAAGTAAGCTTTAAAAGCTAGTGTAACTCACAATGTAACTATGCAGATGTTTGTTGAAAACCAACCAAGCTCCTACATATTAAAACTATTTATTAGATTTGTTTTGGTAGTAAGTGTACAATTATGAGTTAAATACACACTCTTTAAAATGCTGTTAGCAACATTTTAGCTGCATGAGTTGCCAAACCTTGTTTTTAAGGTCGCCGATTTCTTGTCCATAGACTCTGGCAAGCTGCTCTTTCTGTTTATCCAGTTGCATGTTTTGCTGTTGCTTAAGGGAATCACATTCAAAACTCAAGCTTTCCAACATTCGATTCTTGAGTTCAATTTCTCTCTGAAGAGAGTACTTCTCTTGTTCAAATTTCTGAAAGAAATAACATACTAATAAATCTAGATGTAATATTCATAAACGCTTGGGGAACAACACACTACATACAGGCTCAGAACCAAGACACTAATGCCCAAAACTTGTAGCTCATTCAACCTTTTGTTGAAGTCCCAATTAGGGAATTGGCACACCCATGTTCTAAAAAAAGCAAACAAACCCAAACCAAAAAAAACACCACAACACCCAACACAAAAACTGCTCTGAAATTTTATGACTTATTTGGCTGTGTAATATTCTCTTCTTCATGGAAACTGCATATTTCTTCACACCCAACATAAAGGGTGTAGGCATCTTTTCTGCAAATGTAACATAAAAATTTAGTGAGAGCTTACCCATCCTTTCTACCACCATGGAACCCGCCTGATTATGTTACAAATCATCACACTCCATCAGGTGTTCCTCTACTGCAGAACAGCTGGGTTCAATGTTTGGTAAAGACATCTAAATCATCTACCATTTTGCAATAAACCCTACCAACCCTTCCAGATTGAAGAAGGGCTTCTTTATCAGCTTCCCTCTATGCCTGATTGTATATGTTTGCTAATTATAAAGGGCAGCTTCATTTCACTCTTCCATTCAGGTAACAATTAAGGAGAAGAAAAAAAAATTTAAAAAGGAGAGTCTTGGAAGCAGAAAAGGTAAATACCAAAACCAAATCAGTCTAAAGATGCAGGATTTTTTTTTTAAATAAAATAACTCCTAAAACACAAACCAGAATTAAAAAAGGAGCATAAAACTAAAAGCTGGCAGGTATGAAATTGACCTCTGTGGCCCAGACACCAGCTCATCAAGGACAGACTTCTCTCTCAAATATACAGGACAAGAGTTTTGGCTCAAAGATAAAGACAGTGCACAGAAACGGTTTGGGAGTGCACTGCTGACCAGACCCAAGAAAGACAAAAATCTAGCATGATATGTCTACAGACTTTTACAGAAGCGTACGCAGATTCTTCTGAAAGACGCTTGTGCCTACTGTTAAAACTTACACTTGTGTTCACGGTAATTGCTTTGGCTCTCAGATTCCAAAGAAGAGAGCCATAGATTCAAAAGCTCCAAAGAATCTGTTGGATAACCACAGTTCCCACACAAGACGTTCATCTGTTGTATGAAAGCACACAATTCCTTCCCTCTGCCCTCGGAATCTAAGTTACTAATTGATGTGGTTCACACAAGCTCAGCTCGTAACTTTGCTCCAGCCTATGACATGGGATTACAACAGCTTCACAACACAGTAGCCACCATCTCAGGCTGTCTGCAGAAAAGGATGATCCTGCCCCCACTAATTTCTTAGCTCTATCGTAAGGGAAGGGATGGATACACAGCCAGAAACAGACTAAATGAAGAGAAATGGTATATCTGAAGCATGGGCTGACTGAAAACAACCATCAAAATTAGAGTGTTTATGAAAAGCGGAAGATGTTTTCCTGATTGGAATTTTCTTGCACAATTACTAAGAAAACTGGCTGACTATATAATATCTCTGTATTTCAACACTACACTACTCTCTTTTCTGCAGTGTAAAGAAATGTACTAATAAATTCAGAATCCCTTGGTATGTAGAAAATTTGAAAACTTCACTACAGAAGAAATCAGTTTTACAGTCTTGCTGCTAGCGTTCTTTTTACAGCTTTAAGTGGTGCAAAGCTTGCAGGGAGAGCACAACATGAATGAATTGCTAAACATACCCAAAACACATGCTCTAAAACAAATTTACTTAGCACTTAGTATTCATTTTACATTAAAGGCAATTAATCCTACACAGTACTGAACAGTCAATGCATAATTAGCTATGAAACCCTGTCCCAGTTAGATAAAATTATGCTCAATATCTTAGAGCAGCGATAAAAAGCCCTCTCTACAAATACTTAAACTAAAAAGGTTTATTAAAAATTAATCTAGACTCTAAAAGGCATTTAACACACCTGTGACATTCAGAAAATAGTTAAATTAAAACAAAGTTCTTGACTGCTTTTTTTACTCAAAGTTTAAAACATCACCTCAGTTTTCTCAGTCAATTCACGGCGTGTTTGATCCAACTGATTTTGAACTTCGCTTTGGGACTCCAATAAATGCAAGCCATATTGTGCTGCCTTTCTTCGCTCATTCTCTGCTTCCTTGAGTTGCTGTTTGAGACTTAAAATGGTCTCTGTCTCCATTTTTCTTCCTTTTGTTACTTCAACATCGCAAACACAAAAAGATTAAAAAAATATATTGCAGTAAGTTACAGCAGTTAATCGGAAAGAAGTTATTGATTTCCTGTCTTAATCAGGACACAAGGATGTATTTTTGCATTAACACAAGACACAGAAAAAGATAGCTCAGGAACAAACAGTCCAGCGAGCAGCAAGATAATAGCTATTTCTCCATAAGTTTGCTTAGCATCTTATTCCCGACTATGTCTTAAGCAATAGCATGCAGCGAAACAACTCCTGTGTACCCAGCCCGGTTTCCTAGCACATTAGGACCAGAGTTCATCTAGTATACAGCATCTTGCCATATGCAAGAGAAGGCTAGGAAATAACCTTTGAAAAACACCTGTATGCATATGGCTGACAATATTTTCTGTGGTATTACAAATAAAGCCACACTAACTATAGCATTACTTGTGTACGCAAATAACACTTAAGATTCATGCAGGCAGCTGTATTAGCGGGATAGCTTACTCCTAATAACATTATGTGCGATATAAAAACAGATAAAGGTAGTTGAAGGAAAGAGTCAAAAATAGAAACCCTGTTAAAATACACGGAATTTTCACACAGGGATTTTTATTTATTTAAGTGCTTAATGGAGTCTTTCATGACTGTATTCCACTTCAAACTTAAGTCACTGCAGATAACCTATTTGTTAGTCACCATGTCTTTGTCACATGTTTTGGAGAATTCATTCGTTTCTATATTTGTATCATAACAGAATACACAAGTAAAGGTGAATTTTGCAAAAAGTTACTCAAAATAAACCCAAACAAAATATTTTAAAAAATAAAAATCATATCAAACTAAACACCATAAGCTTGTATGACTGCTTGCTCCCAAACGTACTAAATTGGCACACTGCAAAAAAATCCTATTAAGACAGAAATTTCTAAGCAACTCGGGTTTCTGAGCAACACAAGCCAAGAGTTCTCTCAGAAAGTATTCAGTAACAATGACATACAAATAAAAAAAAAAAACCCTGCAGTTGATTTTTCAAAGCCAGAGTTCATAATTTTTATATAATTTCAGGATTAAAGTTATTGTTCCTTGAAGATCTTATTCTGTGCTTTTTCTTTTTACTTAAACAATTTAGTTGTTGCCATTTCTTACTGGCACATATATTATTCTTATGAATGTTAGGAAGATGCTGGTCTTTATCAAGAGCAAATTTCACAGCTTAGCACAGGAGAGATTATTTTTAACAGTCATTATTATTATTATGCCTTCACTTTTTTTTTTTTTGCTAACTTTTATTCAACAGCTTCCTATAAAAGAAAAAAATTAACATGCAAAAGTGCATCACGCCAAAACTGTTCTAATTCCTTTCAGAAATACAAGATAGAAATTATCAAATTCCGTTTTCCACATTTTCCATCACTTGTTGTTATTCATGTTTAACACATACAAAGAGACTTTATCCAGCCAGGCTCGGAAACTTCAGTTTTTCACATCTAACCATTGCAATAATTGAAATACTAGTTTTGAACACCTATGCTAAAACAAGCCAGCAAAAGACAGGAATTTTGCATGCCTAGAACTAAGAATCAACAATCTTCTTACTAGTGCGAGGATATGTAAACTGTGTACAATTTAATAATGCCATGTTTAACAGTAAGATGTAGCAATATAAGCATATAGGCAACCACTCCTGGCATGCATTTGCATAGTAAAGGGGATTAATTAATCCTAATTCATTTCATAAACAGAATTTTAAAAATAGCTTTATTTTCTGATCAAACAACAGCATAGAGGCAACATAGCAATTTGATTGCTCCTAGCTTAGTAAATTAAATTTGAGTAACGTTTTTAACTCACCTTCAGAAGTCCATTTAAATCTTTCTTGACCTTATTCTCGTACTCCACCTTTAAAAGAAAAAAAAAAAAAAAAAAAAAAGCAACAGTTGTCTAGTCCGGATGAGTATAAGCTGCCATTATAGCGCAGTCCTTTTCTGAAAAAGCTTAATGCCTGTGGCTGTCTCATGAAAATGCAGATCACAAACTAAAACCCCATAGAAATGCAAATCTTATTAAAATCTCAGTTGAGGCAGCTGTCAGATAGTTTAGAAACAGCCAGATCAGGCAATGTTGCCAAAGGATAGATGCTCTGCAATTGGTCTGTGGGGCAAGTAAACAGACTACACCCAGGCTCACCTTCTAGCACATAAGGGTTGTTGAGGGATTTTGTCTTGCTCCCCCCTTCAAGCTTTTTTGCATGCTCTCCTCCAGCTTCACATACAAGATCTTTGAGCTCTTAAGTCATTTACTGGATAATATTAAAAAAAAAGATCTTAGGCTTTGCTTTAATTTTGCAGTTGAAGTATGGAGGAAAAAAAAAAAAAAAAATAGTTTTCCTAATCATACGTTCCTTGCCAACTATTAGGGAAAACAGCAAGTATGGCTTCCAGAGTACAGACATCCTCAACTTTTGGCAATTTTGGATGAAGTTAATCAGACAAGACCAGGTAGCTTTGTTCATACACCTGTATTGTTATAAAGGGAAGTAATTGCCTGCAATTTAATATTATACATGAGGTTAAGTAAACTACCCTGAAAATAATGTTTTAAGAAATTAAATAGGTAGTAAGGTGAGCAGGTAGGAAGTGAAATAATAGAAATCAGTCTTCATTTATTCTACTGAGAATTACAAGAGAGTTACTCACTTTTGGCTAATTATCTTCAAATATTTTTATGACAGATTCCATACCGAGGGCTGCAGACTTTGAGTATTCAACCATTTAGGTACTCCTTGATAAAAACAACAGGGTAGGAGATAAAAAGGCACTCTCCTGGCATGCAAACTTTCCTCTCCCACTCTGTAACTGTCCTTCTAGTTAACCTGCTATTCCCAAGGGCCATACGCAGCCGCCATCTGCATTCCGATCTATCCGGAAGTACCTACAGAGTTTTCTGATCGCTAACATCATCGGCAAGATAGTTTCTGTCCCTGTTCTCCTTACAATTCACTTCAGTTACTTGAACAAGTCCATTTCTTCACCTACCAAGTTGCACACTCAAGCCGAAATATTTTCAGGACTAATCGCCTTCCACAAAACACACTCCTGCGTGGATAAGCATTACAGAGAAAAGAAAAAAATAAAGTCAGACTACAGCCTGATCTTTCAGTCACTACAAAGCACTCGGCAAACCAGCAGCTGGCTCTGTCAGCACCTTCTCCAACGCTGCCGTGCCATGTTGCGTCTATTCGTTAACTCAGGACACGACCCCTCTGCCGTTCAGGCCGGCCGCTCCCTGGCGTTCTCGGCTGCCCGCCCCGCTTCAAGCGGAGGCGGGGGGGGGGGCGGCGCCCGCGCGGGGGCGCC